GCGACTATCAACGTACTGTAATTTTGGTAACAGGGTACCTAAGCATGCTGTGCAATAGTATCCAGTTGAGTACTTGATCAGTACCTTCAAGTACTCATTTACTAGTTGTTTTCCAGCAGGGTACCTACCTGAGTACCTAAAAGGTATCTAAAAGTACTTTTAAGTACTTCAGTACCATAAAGTTCCTAAGACATACTAGTAGCAGGGTACTATTTTGGTTACCCTTTGTTCAGTACATGCCCTAGGGAACTTAACCTTATCCAATGCAGCAGGACAAGGTAGAAAAAAAGCAACAACACCAGCTGATGATCGTAAATTATTAGGAATTATGAAGAAAGATCTGACGAAATCTAGTGAAATGTTGGCACATGAATGAACTTTATCAAATCGTAAAAGATTATTTTCATCTACTGCGCGTCGTCGTTTGATCGCCATGGGTCATAAAAGTTACACAGCTAAACGGGAACCTTTAAGGACACCTGCTCAAATTAAAAAACGTTTAAAATTTGCTAAAGAACATCAATATTGGTTAAGTGAATGGAACAATATTATCTGGAGTGACGAAGCACATTTTGAATTATTAAATCGTAAAAATGGTACTTATGTTCGTCGTTCAAAATCAGGAACGAATCAGTCATTCAATTTCATTCCACGTGTACAAGGTGGTGGAGGTAGTATTAGCGCATGGAAGTGCATAGCTGGTGGTGCCCGTGGTCCACTTGTGATTTATAATGGTAGATTCAATGGTCCTGCTTATATTAATACAATCAAAGAAGCATTATCTATGTTTATTCACAATACATTCGATGCAGGCGATCAAAATTGGACTTATATGCAAGACAATGCACCATGTCATACATCAAAATATACAATGAATTGGATGTAAACTAATGGTATTAATCTTGTTAAATGGCCTGCAAGTTCTCCTGATCTTAACCCAATTGAAAACTTATGGGATCATATTGATAAAAAGTTAAGAAAATTGAAACCAACAAATGTTGGAGAGCTTCAAATGATGATTGAAGATCTATGACTTGGTATAACAGCAAAACAGTGTCTGACTTTAATAAATTTAATGCCAAGACGCATCAAACAGTGTATTTCAGTTCGAGGATGAACATTCAACAAATATGAAAAATAATAAATGAAAATAACGTGAAAGAACTTATAGTGATTCTATATTTTTTCACATGCGAAAACGTGATTTGATTTTTTGAAATTTTTTTTTCCTGTGAACATGTAATTTATGAACTTTTTCTTAATAAATAATGAAAGAACACGTTCGATTATATGTATATACGATCAATTCAAAACGAAAAATTGATATTGATAGAGAATAAAATTCGAAAGAAGTGCCAGGAGCAATGTGATTCTATAATTTTTCACAGCACTGTAGTGTTGAATCGCTCAAACTCGAAGACAAATAGATAATATGTCATCTCTTTACTGCTCCCCACCCTTTACGCAGAAAAGAACCATTGGACTGCTTTTCAACTAATGCTAAAAATATTTGCCGAGCATTTTTTAACGGTGCATTTATTTCAAAATAACTGATGTCCAATTAGTCCTTACCATACATAACACTTAAGAAAACACAGGGTACAAATATTGGAAATATTTTAAAACTCGATGACTTTTGCAAGAGTTCCAAGGAATCGTTTAACATCAATTTGCTGATGTTAAAGTGATCTAGATCGACATTTCGCAGAGCTTTTTATCCTGTCGAGGTGATCAAGTTCGAATTCAACTTTGGTAGTCGATACAAAAGAAAGAGTATCCGAGGAATCACATGTTGATAAGTTCATAAGGAGGGGCAATTGTATAGCATGCATGATACTTCTTCGTGGCCATTTGTGTTTGAGTAACAGTCTCTTCGTAATCAGTATTTATACTACTAGTGGGGACTCCTCGAAAAAGCATTGTTCTAACGAGTATAATACTTAGTTTTAACGCTTCTAATTTTCATATGGAACATTAAACGGGAACTTTTAATCATCTAGATTATAAATAAGCATTGTTCTGGCGAAACTAGTGAACTTATGGCGTCTAGCAAGCTCAAAAAATCGAGCAACACAATCTCAGAAGAAAATCAAGAACGATTGCTGGGTCGATACGATAACAATGACGTACTCAAACACGCACAATTAGCGATGGATAGTTTTGGAGACAAGAAAAAGAAGTTACGGCAGCGAATGTACGTGCAACCTATCGGTCAAATATCTAATTTTGNGTCGATACGATAACAATGACGTACTCAAACACGCACAATTAGCGATGGATAGTTTTGGAGACAAGAAAAAGAAGTTACGGCAGCGAATGTACGTGCAACCTATCGGTCAAATATCTAATTTTGAGGAACTTAAGCATTTCAAATCATATAACAATGAAATTGTTGAACAATACCTTGAACAGGCGCTACTCTATGAGAATGAGGCGTCATTGCGTGAGAAACGTGACGAGTATGCTATTATTGAAGATGACTTTGGACCACTATTAGAAAAAAAGTTAAAGGATGGTGCACCTCTATCGTTTGAAAATCTTCGGAAAGCCTGTCAAAAATTGGATGAAAATAGCGATGTGCATTATCAAAAGAGTAACCAAACATACGGGTATTTCGTAGAACGAGGAATTTCAGAAGAGAATGCAAGATCCTACGCTATGGCCATCGCATTTTATTCGGGTGGATACAGTGCGCTGGTGAGCACATCAGCAAACTACGTTGTTCGAATGGAAAGAAAGGTAGCTGAAATGTATACAGATGATGAAAAGCTCAATAGTCATGCGGTGATGCTTATGCATTACCTAATTAAAGGACTCTCTCATATTGACTTCTACTGGGGTGTTGTGACCCGATACGTCAATCTGGACAAAGATGACAAAAAAGATTATAAACCTGGCGAAATCCTGACTTGGCTCCAGTTCAGTAGCGCAGACAAAGGTGGGCAGGATATGACCCATTTTAAGGAACGGAATACAGTTTTCAAAATAGCCTCGCTCACTGGTCGAGCTATACGATACTTTTCCAATTGTGCTGACGAAGAAGATGAGGTTCTTTTTCTTCCACATTCATGTTTTCTTGTATGTCAAGTAATAGAGAGCGAACCTCAAAGGCAAATATTTCTGCGACAGGTAAGCCATACGTTTACATACAGTTAGCTAATTAAAAATACACACTTTGATCTTGTAGATTGAGTTGGGTTTAAGTAAATACGTTATCTTGTGGGTTGACGACAATATTTTTGATGAAGATTGGGGAAATAAACGACTCATGGAAAGGGCAACCACTCAAGGAGCTCGTGTTAATGTTCATTTCATTCCAAAATCAAACACGGATTCGGCACTATCGTTTCTTCGTTCCGAGTTTGGACAGCGTATGAAGGAAAAGGAGTCATTTCGTATTGTGACTGATATGAAGCGGACAAATGAGAACGATCCTAGTACGGCGGGTGCCCGACTACTATCGGAAGTGCGCAAACTGGATTTTCGCCAGTCCTGCTTAATATTTACGGGCCATGAAGGGTCAGCATACGACAAGCTGAAGAAGATGTTCGGCACTGATCGACCTCAAGGCATTAAGGTGACTCAATATGAATCCGAACTGGAAAAGTTTGTCCTTTTCAAACGCTCTTGAACTACATACCAATTATAGACCCATATATTTTATCGAGAATGTATTGAACACAAATGAAAAGCTTTGGATGAGAGCGTGGGTGAGGGTGTCAGTATATTGAGACATCGTTTTAATAATCCGTCAATCAACAAATTTTCTCAAAAGATGCTTCGAAAGAATAAATCATGGCAATCCTTTGCAGTGGTTAAAGAAATTTGTTTTTCTGGGATTTACTTAGGGGCATCCAAAAGTAGTGGCAACGAGATTTTAGTAATGCTCTTTCTTTCTATACCATTTGATCTTACTGCAGTTACCATTCATAACGATAAAATGCTCATAAAACTGATTCGCTGGACAAGTGTCTCGG